AGTCCAGGAGGCTGCTCTTGCCAATGCCGAAGGGAGGCAGGGGCTGCCGCTGCAGCTCCTGCTTGAGCTGTCGTGGGGAACAGGCCAGAAATAGCCTGTTCCCGAAACCCTGTTTTTGTGCCTGAGTCTTAGGGTAGGTCGAACACAATGAGGGCCTGAAAATGGCCCTCCGTTTCAGGCTGAAAAGCCTCTGGGCCTAAAAGGCCCAAAAATAGGCTGAAAACGGAATAGGGCCTGCAGGCCCTCGTTTTTCAGTTTCAGGCTCAAACGACCGGGGCCTGTAAGCCCTATTTTCTAGGCTTTTAGGCTGAAAGTGCGGGACGGGCCCTGTAGGGCCCGTGTGGCTACGTAGTATGCCACACCCCCCCCTCCTTGAAAGACCGAGCTTACCTGCGAGGGCGAAGCTGTCTGTCTGAGGGAGGGACCACAGTCCAGGTGGGAGGGGCCGTTCGTGAAGCTTCCTCAGCTAACCTTTGCTTCTCATAATGCGCGTAGATCAGCGGTGCAAATGCTTTCAAATCTGCTCCTGAAATCCACCGAGTGTCGTCGCGATCGCAGGCTTTGAATGTAACTTTGTACTGTCACGGCTTGCTGCCGTACTTGCGATTGGTGATGACGCGGTCAACTTCCTGATGACCATCCATAGAAGGAGGGTCCTGCGATCGTCGGCCCGGAAAGTCGTCGCTCTTAGCTGGCATGTATGTTGCTAGCTTTGAGGCGTGAAAGACTGGATGGACCGTCAGATGCGGGGGGATGTTGATCACAAATGAAGGGTCATCGGGCTCATCGCCCACGGCTGATGTTACGGGCCATGGTCCAAACCACTTGGGAAGAAGTTTGTGTGAGACATCCTGTTCCAGTGCAAACTCTTCTGTGGAAACCTAAACTAGGTCGTCGGCGCGGACGGGACATGGCACGCGATGCCTGTTGGCTTGGTGCTGCATGCGGACTTGAGCCTTTTGCATATTCGCGCGGGCTTGAGCCAGCAATTCCCTGTACTTCCGGACGGAAGCGGGAGAGCAAGCGACATCGATGTCGGCTGGTCGTGGGAGGAGAAGGTCGGCGAAGATACGGCCTTTCCGTCCACCGTGGTGCAACTCGAATGGAGTCACGCCGATCGCCGGGTGCACCGAAGTGTTGCAGGCGAACTTGATGTCGGGGAGGCGGTCAACCCAATCTTTCAGGTCCGGACGAATGAGCGTACAAAGCATCATTTAGGCGGTCTGATGTGCCCGCCCCGTCTGCCCGTCTGTGTGTGGGTGCCGAGCCGAACTTGGTTTCATCTTCGTGCCGGACTCCTGCATGAGTGCAGTCCAAAATGCCAACATGAAACGAGTGTCGCGGTCACTGACTATGTCTTCCGGTACACCATGGCCGCAAATCCAGCCGGTGTGCAGGAGGCGTGCCAGCTCAGGAGCCGTGGAGTAGTACTTGCAAGGGAGAAAACGTGCGTACTTGCTCAATCGGTCCACTGCCGTGAGGATGTCGTCGTATCCGAGGCGGTCGCGTGGGAATGGTCCGGTGACATCCATGGCAATGGAGAGTCCGGGTTCCTGCGGGATCGGCATCGGGCGCAGCTCGCCATAGTGGTTGCGGTTGCGGGGTTTGCTTCGTTGGCAAAATTCACAAGAGTCGTAATACCTCGTGATGTCGGTGATGAGGTCGGGCCATCGGAATCGTTGTAGAAGCCGTGCAATAGTGCGGTTGCTCTGAAATGGTCGGCGAGTCGCGAATCATGATACTCGCTGAGGAAACGAGTCCGAAGATGGCGGTCGCGTGGGACACATAGTAAGTCCTTGCCTCTCGAGTGGAGGAGCAAGTACCCGTCGGCAATGCGGTAATGGCTGGCCGGCGGGTGATCCGAAGATAGTTGCGCATATAGCGTGGCGAATTCTGGATCAGACTCATAGCCCCTGATGAAGTGTCGTTGAAGCTCCTTGTCRAATGCGAAGGCATGATGTGTCATAGCGCAAAGATCAGGTCTTCGCGAGAGTGCATCTGCTGCGCGATTGGAGAGGCCGGGGACATGCTTTGGTGTGAAGTCAAATTGGTCGATGAAGTACATCCATCGTCCGATCGTGCTGCTCACCGTGTCCTGCGTCTTGTAGTAGGTCAGTGGATTGTTGTGTGATCCATGTGAACCTACGACGCCCAAGGAGGAAGTGCCGCCAGCGTTTGAGAGTCATCACGAATGCGAGCAGCTCCTTCTTCCTT